AAACTTAGCAGAACTTCCAACGAAATTAAAGGTGTTAGAGGAGGAAAATTTTTGTTTTCAGTGCTCTCTGATCGAGTTTGCCAAAGGGAAAATCGCTTTCGAGCAAGAAATACAAATACTAAACTTTGATAAGACAAAACTTGAAAGAGAGCAATTTGATACTAGAATTGCTCAGACCATTTTTGGAGATTCCATCAGAAAAATTCACATGTTTGACTTATAAGTAAGAGATGACCTTGAGGCGAAGCGACTAGAGCTTGAACGGGAGAGGAAGAGTTGGCAGGCTTTACGGAAATAGATGGAGCAACTTAGTGTTCATGTAGCTGATTAAGAGAGAAAGATGACGAATATGGGGACCAAAGAGGAAATCATGTCCTAATATATCGCCTCTCAGGCATTTGAAATTGTCATTGCAGACAACATCGATCAAGCAATGAAGTTCATTTTCGATACTCTTGTGCATTGAGGAATTCTATCTACAAAATGGAAAGATACCAGCTAATTTATTGATTTCTCGTTGAAGCTTGCCTAGGACCGTCTAGTTAAGTTGGCACCTTTTTGTGCCCCGACAGTCTCTTGTCTTTTTATGAGTATTTTATCAATGGACTTGGCTCATTTTGACATTTGCCTTCTATGTATTTTTTACTTTTGTGTGATTTCGATGTAGTATGGATCTTGGCTGAAAGGGATTTTGTTACTTTGATGTGATTGGATCCTCATTTTCAAAATTTGAAATTAAAGCATCGTTTTTTAGAATAGAGGTTTAGTACGATAATGCCCCATGCCCCTGACATCTGTCATAAATGGTTGATGTGATAGTTTCCTTTTTATATTCTTCCTGGAGAATGTATTATGTTCTTGCCTGCCTTTCTTTCTTATCTAGTTTCTTAAGTCTATTTTCCTTGGGCGATTATAGAGTTTGAGAGAATTTCTTCCTTTGACTTTGATCAAATTATTCCGATGAAGGAAAGCAAGGGTTTATTTCTTTCTCACAACTTTGGAGCTAGTTTGGAGTTGCAATCTACTGTTCTCAGACAGCAAAAGAATATATCTTCAATCAACTGATAACCGTTCGGGTAGTGGAGGAAGATAAATTGCCCAACGTTTATGTTCAAAATAAAAATTGCTGCTACTTGATCGGTTTAGACTAGGTCTTCGTTTTCGATTGTATGAAGAGAAATAAAAAATTTTAAACTCATATTCGGATATTGGTACTAATGACACTAATTCATTCTAACTCCATATTGGTATTGATGTCATTTATCCTATTTCTCCAATCCAAAATACATATTGGTCGATGGACTTGTTCAGAATTGTGATGAGGTCGAAAACATATTCGGATAGAATAGTTATCTTCACTTCTTTAATATTGTTTGATGACCTCGAGCATAAGATTTGTTCATGACAGAAGCAATTTTGTTTTGTAAAGCATGAGGAATGGGAGGTGAGTACTATCCATAGATTTTCGGTATCTAACGCAACTATGCATGAGTCTTGCTTCTCTAACTTTAAAGAACCCAGCCATCAGTGCATAAATGACAAGAGCTTAAACATTGGAACTTTATATTCTTTGTATTTGTAAAGAATGCTTTTCATGATAAGTCTTCTATTCCACTATGTTCATTTCCCTCTTGTTAATTGGTATTTGCAATTGAAGATCCATGCTTATGTGAAGGAATGATTCGACTTTTTTTAGGAACTTGTGGAAAGAACCGAGAACTTGCGGTCTTGGTTGGAGGACCTTTGTAGAGAAGTGGTGGCACCTGGCCAGGCCAGCAACAGTGATGCTGTAATAGTTTTAGGCGATGATGACGAGGTGGAGTCTCAGGCTCTTTTGTTTACTCCCATACGTGCCAAGCCCGTGAAGAGAGAGCATCTATCATAGAGGCGACCATTGATGCGCCGTTTTCTCGAGTCTAGGTTTAGGAAAAACTTCAATTGAGAGATAAAGGGAAGGGGGTTGTCCTGAATTTATGCCATTTGACCCGTCGGCTAGTGAGTCCCGACCGAACCGCCAAGGACATAACCAGTGGGAAGGTCATCCCCTTCTACTATGTATTCATCAGGGTCGTCCGATTCGGAAGAGTTTGATTTGAAAGGATGAGTACTCTAGATGAACAAGGCTGGGACATAGGTTATCGTTGACTTGTCTAAAGATTAGATCTCCGATGAACCTTTTTTTAGATTGCCCCTATTTGATGGGGTCACCGAACTTAATGGCTCAGGCAAAAGCTAAGTGAGGGCTGCTCAATGTCTTGGTGATGGAGAGAGAGTGGTTTTCTTTCCCATGTGTTATATTTTTGGTAAATATTTATGCATGCATGCAACTATGGCTCATTTATCAAGGCCATGTGACTTGAGTTTCATTTTAATTCGATGCTTTGCCATTGAAAAGGTGTGGGTGAGTTCCTTATTTTGTGGGTATCAGCATAAGGTAGAATTTGAACTCATCTTTTTTTATTTTTCCTCTACAAATGCTTGGAACACATTTATTTTGAATGTAAAGGCTCACCTGGAACTAAGGGAATCAAACTTTAGAGCTCAAGGGACACATATAACTGAGTATATGTTACCTTTTATTCTTATGGTTTTTGCTACTCCATCAGATCTTGTTTGTACTTTATGAATTTGAAACCAATTTTAAACTTTCTAATGAAACTAAAGCCTATTGTGACTAGCTCCTGTCAAGCCCATAGATATTTTCACCGCATTATCTGTAAGAAACGACTTTGATCTTGATTTTCCTAGTCTAGTTGCCCCTTCTCTTCCTCCAGTTACAGAATACGATGATGAGGATGACTCAGGAGATTTTTTATCCAGATAGAAGCATTCAAAGTGTTGACGTTATTCCAAATCTTTTTTAGTAGGCGCTGCAAAAAAGTGAAAAAAATATTATCACACCTGTGTAGTCACCAGGCTCCAAAGTAGGCGTTCCAAATTTGTGCTTTTGTCTGTTTTCTTATTTTTGGAACGTCATTTCATCATGCAATTGTTATCATATGTATTTTTTTTTATTCAGTTCTTTGCAAGTTCCCGTTTTGTAATCACATTATTTTTTATATATTCTTCTTTAATTAAAAAAATCAGTACTTGTTTAATGAACCCAACAAAATTGCAACTTATCTCAAAGGCAAGTTACAAATTGAAGCCGAATGAACAAATCAAAGAACGAATAAGAAATCAATTTTGAATCCCTATGTGTTGCTAAAACTTCTCAAACTTTTGATCTTGCACCTATTTATCCACAAATAGTGCATGATTTCCATATGTTCTGGCATTTCTAGCAAAATTTCTTGAAGGCTCTTGTAACAATTTTTGTATGTTTTAAACGACTATTATATTATCACCTTGTTTAAATTCTACGATCTTTACACTTTATTGTTAGTTTTGTACTATTGTATTCATCTAAAACATGCAAATGACTAATTTAGGATGCATTATAAGGTGATTAGTATTAAAATCTAAAATACTTAATAATGAGAGGAAGATATGATAAAACAATTTTAGCAGACAATCTAAGCAAATATGATATTGCTTAAATGAATGGATTACTCATTAAAAAAAAGTTAATTCATAGATTTAAATATTAGTTGGATAAATTTTGTATCGTTAGATTTGATCAGTTAAATATAGTTTTAATTTAGGTTTTCTTATGTTTGAACAAACCTCAAAAATTTGGATGCAATTTAACTTTCTGTATAAAATACTTTTTATTAATCTGTATTATTTATAAATTAAGAATTAGAAATGAAGTCAATGGCAGTTTTATTTGTAGATATAATTTTGGTAGATATTTCATAAGGAGTTAAATCATCAGACTCATTAATTGATTCATCCATTTAAGCAGAATTGTTCAAGAATATGCTCAATTTTTATTTTGGTGAATAATTCATTTAATCAAATGCTTACCTCCACATAGTTGTTCCCCTAACCTTCATTTGTTCCATGCCACTGGTCTTCTTTTATGATTTGGTTTGCTTAAGATTCTTTTAATTTGGATTTCTGATTATTATTTTATTTTTAATCAATATGCAATTTTTATAGATATTAAATCTTAGTGCTAAATATTAATTTGCGCAATCATTAAATTGTTGTTTGGGATAAATTTGGTTTTTTATTCTAGTTTTCCTCAAAAAGAAATGAGTTCTTATTTTATTTGATATAGCATGTGACAATAAATTTTGATTCCATGCACTTGTTTTCATTCATAACATTATATATTCGCAGTAAGAAACTTTTAAGCCCTAAGATATTCTGCATTATTTTTAGTAGTGGAGTGCATCATGTCAAATAGAAGTTGGTTAACAATTGAGTCAAATGCATTTAAACTAAATTGAGAAACTGTGATTCTAGACAACTACAGTTTGACTATTATGATGTTCAAACTTATGATGTTGTAATCCAAAATTAGTGGACATGCTCAGATTATTTTTTATGAAGCATTACTAATAAATTTACACGTGTTAATAAAGTTAGCTTTTTTTTTTCATTTAGTGAACATAATTGCCAATTAAGATATTGTAAATAAGGTAAATATGGTTTATTTAAGTATTGGTAAATATTTAAACGCCATGCAGCTAATTTTTTTTACTATTAACTGTTATATAATCATTATCCTTTTCATTAATGATCTTAAGTGAGAAATTATTTACACAATAATTAACCTATTAAAACTGCACTGCTATGCTTAATAAACTTTAAAAAAATGCATTGAAATTTTATCTAATGCTTATCAAACTTGGTCAAACATACAGATCATATATGATTGAATCTCCTCCTGCAGAAATTGAATTTCATGATTTTTTTTTTAATGTTTTCTTGCTTCTATTTGCACGATATCCAACTTGAATTAATTTTAGATCCTTTGGGGCTAATTTAATGAGGCATTAAGTTGTAAATGACAGGTCTGTCTACATGCTATGAATTTTGATGTCTTGATAGATTGTTTTTAAAGCATTTTCCTGGAGCTCATGTTGGTGGTTCAATGGCCGTCATTGCAGGGTCTGGTTACTTGTCAGCTTGCTTTGCAATGATGGTTGGGCCAGAAGGTCATGCGGTAGGGGTAGAGCACATCCCTGAACTTGTGGCTGCGTCTGTTGAAAATATTAATAGAAGTGCTGCAGCATCACTGATGGAGGGAGGTAGTCTCACTGTACATGTTGCTGGTATGATTTGCGAGAATTTTAACTATTGTTTCTTTTTTTCATTTTTATTTTTGTATATTTGGAGAATATTAATTCTAGTGTTATCTCTCTACGCACCTATGAATGATCACACTTGTTCATATCCACATTTAGCTATTTTTGTGTTGTGGAGCAGTACTGGTTTTTAAATTTCTTACAACTTGAATAACTTAAAGAACTATCAACGATCAATTAGAAATCATAGATTCATTTTAGAGAAGTCGATTACAGGCAAGTAAACATACCTATTGGAAAGTTATGAGAGTCTCTCTTTTTTCTTTGTTTTGAGGAATGAAACACTTTTATCACGATCTGACCCGGGGCTTGGAATTAACCAAGACGGGATCAGACGGTCGGACGGTCGGACGGTGGTAGCTAAGCTTTCTATATCTATTTACCATTTAACAAGTGAAAAATCCAATCAAGTTAAATTACAGGTTGTCTGCATTTTCTATAAACATTTTCCCTCTATCGCTTGTCTTTTAATCAACTAATTGAATGTGAAAAGTTAGTTTACAACAACTATGAGCTAATAAGTCAGTGAATACTCACACTTCTAAATTATAGTCATATAAGAGCCAAGAAAAATAATATGCATACTAGTTAAGCTTTTAATAAATCAATATAAACATTTAAGATGCTATTTAATCAATTTTACTATGTTAATGTCATATCAATATCATTTTATATCTGTACAACCGTCACAGGAGCACCATCTAAAAACTATATCACTTAAGATGCTTTAATATCAATATACTTTTTCTTTTACGTGCACAGATACCTTAGCGTTTCCCTCTATTATCATAAATAGGTGACTTCATCATAGTTTGTCATGCACATATAAGCAATCAATATAAGTATATTATTTATTTGCTCGTCCCATTCAATTCTATATACTCTATATTACATATACCAATGCATGATATCATTTAGCTACAAGTATTTCTAACAATGTGACCAATAGAAGGAAAAAAATTTATAAATCAAAATGCTTGTACAATTATCTACTAAAGCAAAATCCTAGAAAAAAACCACAAATATTACTATAGATTAAAAATTTGAGTACTCGCCTCGATAATAGATGAATGCTTGTTCTTAACTTGTATTACTTCTATCAAATTATCACCTATAAAATATAAAATATTCAATTATCATCTTACTTAATCATATTTTAATTTAATTATGAATTATTGTTGCATTGCACTATTTTAATTAAAATTTCACTATTTTAAACTTTTAAGTTTAATTATTGTAATTAAAATTTATCATAAATATTATTAATTTATGCAAAAATACTTTTAGAATTTAGACCCTAACATTTCCGTAGTGCTTAAATCAAATGCATTAAGTTTAATGTTTAAATAATAAACTTATAATAAACTTACTAAACAACATGATAAAATTACATTTATCCTCGGTTAAGAATCCTTTTCCTGGATGTGAGCCTACTTTCTTCTCGGTGTTCGATACCCTGCTCGCCTTCCTTCTGGATCACACGAAAGCTTCTCCTCCACACGATCCCGTCTGCGAGCAAGGGCTATTCTGGATTGCACGAAAGCTCCTATATAAAGCCGCTGCAACGTCGATTTTCTTGATCGCGGCTTGACATTGACGACGACTCAACGCTGCCGCCGCATTCCTCCACTGCTTGGCAGAGATGCAGCCTCCTCGTTTGGCTTTGGCTCCCTCCTTCCTCACTCTTCTACTTCTTCATGACTACTTCCTTTGCGCTTGCGCGATTATTCCTTCACATGATCCAATGCTGCAGCTACTGCTCTTCTCCTCCTTCGCATGCAGAAAGCCTTACTCCTTTCGTCTTTCCAGGTAAGCTGACTGCGACGTTTTATAAACGAATTCATCTCCATGGCTTCCTGATATTTTGTTTCAACTCCTCGAATACTCGCTTCCTCTCCCTTCTGCTCAGCTTTTGGATTCCTCTCCCCTCTCTTTGTTTCGTCTCCCCCTGTAACTGAAACAAGATGTCACACTTATTAGTGATCTCACTCATCCAATTATGAAAAAATGCTGCAAAACATATTTCAGGTTTATTTTTTCTTATTAGTATTTTAAAATACCACATGGAAACTTACTAATTGTAAGGAGCTATACAACTAGGTAGAGAAGGGGCTTAGGATCTTTGTTTGTTGGCGGGTCGATGATCTCTATGAGGAAGTTTAGAGCGGTAATAGACATATATCTTACATATTCGTTAGAATGACTTTTAAAATAAATAAAATCTTATAATAAATATATTTGTTGGATGTAACGGTGGGTTGTACTTTTTCTATTATGATGATAATCATATGGTAGTGTTCTTTTGGAATTATAGATACCAAATTATTACCCATTGTTTAATTGAAATAGAAATCATAAGGATATGCTATTTAAATCTTTTGTTTTATTTAGAGATTATTTAATTTGTTGAAAAATGAATAGTGTAAATGTAATGTATTGTGTATGAAGTACTTTGGAGTTATTTGGTTTTGTGTAAATTAAATGCTGGATTTATATTTTCTTATTTGTTTGGAAGAAAAAATGAATTTAATATAAAATTTGTCCATTAGCGGTGGCGCCAGACAGTGGCGGGCATTTGCCTGCGAGCGGTGGCAACAATACTTTTCATAAGCAGGGTATTTAGAATCTTAATCAAATCTAGCAAAACTACAACTATATTGAAATTGAACTAAAGAAAGAATTTCAATGCATTGCAAGTTTGTATTGCATTTGAATTTTTTTAAGAAAACGTCTGTTTCAGAACTCCATCAGAAGGCATACAACGCACTCCTTTTGCTATCTTGACCAAATAACTTCTTAATGCATTCGCTTTTATCGGTAGTGTTTTTCTCCTGCTCAAGGCCACATGACTGGGAATCGACCCATGACAAGTATATTCCTAAATTTGGAGGGAGCATCATGTATGGTTATCTAGTTAATTTACTTGAAACTTTATGAAAATAAATAATGGAGATTTTAATGGTCAAGTTTTGAAAAATAGAAAAAAATGGTTATAATATTATTGCATTTATACTAATTAAGCATTATATGTAAGGAAGAAGTGCATTAAATCTTTTCATGCTTATTAAACATTTTAAATTTCATCTTATTACAAAATTTATTACAATTTTTTGATTTTCCTCTTCCATTGTAATTTTCGATTAATTATTCTCGTAATTCTAGCGTTACGAGAGAGTGAGAGTCCGATTTATTTCTTTAATGAAGAGGCGAGAGAGGGAGTGAACAGAGGAATCCATGTCATGTGGCAAATGAATATGAGTAGTGATCCTATAAATGGCCTTGTCGAGCAGCTCAAGGGAGACAGACACTAGTGCAATGTCTCTGTGCGAGAGCTATATCATTAAAATTCAAGCTCTGAGCAAAGCCTTGTGATGGAAGGGGGGTGTGTCAACTCTCATGAGGGAACGACAACACTGGAGCATCATATCCGAAGGAAGAAGATCATGCATGCAGAAGAAAGGGTTCACGGAGTTCGTCCCTTGTTGGAAATTTGATCATACTCGAGAGTGAAGTCTCTATGAGCATGTTGGAAATTTGATCATACTCGAGAGTGAAGTCTCTATGAGCATCTTCTACGAAGTAGGCGACAAAGTTGAACCAAGCCAAGCGGCTAGGAAGGGTTGGAAACATTTTAATTAAATGCATAAGACAGAAACTTAAATAATTTTGAAATTTAGAACGGTAATTATTTGCCCAAAATCTTGAATTCTTATTTAAGTTTTTACCATATACGATTTGTAACTTTAGAAAAAAATATAATAAAGATTTGTTTTGACACCAACTTGTTCGAAACCGACACGTAGCAAATGAGGGAGTTAACTAGACGGCTTATCCCTTATCTTTTCTCATGATCGACCGCATTAGAGAGGCGAGAGAGTTTTAGAGAGCAGAAGACATTGAGAGAGGAAGGGAAAGCTACCGAAGTAAAAGAAGTAGGAGAAGCCATGAAGAAGAAGAGTCAGGAAACCAAGACTGTTTGAGATCACTTTTTGATTTTTGTTTTTGTTTTGATTTAGTTTATTTTGTTTTTTATTTTGTATTTTATTTTCTCTTTCTAAAAGACATGCTTAGTACTGTAATGATTTATCTGTTTTTAAAAATAAAAAATATAAAACATGTTTTGCTGGGTATTTTCTTTTTTTTTTTTAAAGAAAAACTTGTTAAAAAAATATCACCAGTTCTAACTATGTAAATATGTCATGCTCAAATGTATAAAAGTTGTAATAATGTTACAATAATAATATAAAGCTTGACACATCCAAGGGCGTTGCTTTTTAACAAACCATAAAATCATGAGGATTTTACACTAAAATAGCATGTTATATGTCTGATAATAAGGCAAATTACCTTTTAACTAAAACAAAATAAATGCACCATTACATTGATAACATTGTATGATAAACATAAAAAAATTTACAAGCTAATCAGTAAACTCTGTTATGTGTGTGGCTCCAAAGTTCTCTGATAATATGATCTCGAAATAATGCCATGTACTGGAATTGAGATTGAGAAACATTCACTTCAATAGCACTTTGTGAGGCAGAAGTTGATGTAGATTCTCTTTCTGTATCAACTATAGAATTATTTTTATACATCTCAATTAATGTATCTGTCGGCGCTTAAAAGGAAAGGGGGAGGGA